ACAAGCACACAATTGGATCTTTTAGTTTTTCAAACAGAGTCAACTCCTTCGCCTTGTTGCTGTGCAAGATATCTCTCTCGACGCTCCTTCTGTGTTTTTATTAGAGAGGAGAGACCACAACAACGTTAGGTTTTCACAATCATCTTAATGGAAGAGACAAGGGAGGGTCTCTATAATAGCAAATGTGACTCACCCATTCATCGATCACAAGTCCTTCTCCAATCATCTTTGGACCTGTTTCCTCTGGAGGTTTCTTCCGTGCTTCCACTGCTGCATCCGCTTCAGCTAGTTGGCGCTTCAGTTTCTCCAGTGCCTATTTCATTCATAACATAGATAATCAGAAAGAGAGATCCTGTAAATACAAAGATCAGTGTAACATAGAATCGTCTTCATAAGCATATAATGATGCGGATACTCACAGGGTTGGGCCGCTCGGGATCCAGGAAAATCACACGCAATATTTGCTCCTTGGACACATCATCTTTTTGTTCGTCAAACTGCGAAAGACAAAGACAAAAACAAAATAATCAATATCTTCTTCAAGATGGAAACAACATTCAGTGGAGCCTAAGAACTGCAGGAACATGACGACAAGCAGTATGAGGAAAGTAACTAGCACACATGCTTGGTTATATGTTCGTGTCTCAAAGGTAAGTGGAAACCTCTACTCGGAACAAAAAAACATTCTTAGTATCGTCCTTGATTATCTTATGTTATATAGATGGATCAAATAGCTTATGTTCCATTTGGATTCTGACATGTTGTTACAACTACTGTTTTCTAGTTCAAAGATGAGCTGATAGATAAGATTATAAGATCAACATACCAGCTCAGGCACATAGTCCATTGGACCTTTCACCTTCAGGCTCATGATTTTAAACTTAACTCTGCTCCTTTGATCCATTGGCTTCTCATTATTCTCAGGAGGCTCAACAAATTTGAACACTATAAATTTCAACAAAAATAAAGAAAAATAGAGTCACAAGCATAATCTTCTAGAGCCATTGCTTTAATAGCCTAATCAATAAGAATACAGATGGGGGGAAAGAAGCAATTACCAGTGGCAATAATAGTCTCTCCAGGAGCAAGAATAGCACCGGGTGGACGCATGAAGCAACTCTTTGGTGCAGTTGTTTGAAACTGAAGAGCAAAACAGTAAGCACGTACACAAATACAAAACCCCGATAATTAAAAACACTTAGATTCAAAAACATACCTTAAAAGCTACATGTGATTTGCTGGTATTTTTAATCTTAATGGCACTCCTCACTTGCTTCCCCGGCTCATCTTCAAACACAGCAAAGATAATATATTTCAGTACTCCTTGCAATTCATTGCAAAAGAATGTAGTTACCGAAGCAAACAACAAAGGAAGAATTAATCATCTGAAATCAAGGCCTATAGTCAATCATGGCCTATATATACCAAAATCGTCCTGCATAGTCGCTTATCAATTATACAGACTTCTTATTTTAGAATGCTGGGAAAAAAAAACAATCTTTAGAGTTATATATCAACTAAAACCTAAATCTTTGAATGAAAACTGTCCATCATATTTAGAGGAACAACATGTACATAAAAGGCAAATGTAACATGTCTCTCTCCTCCCTATAAGATTAGTCATTTCAAGCAATTTCAGGATTCTAAAAAGCTAAAAACTTGTCTTTTTATTTCTTGTTGAGTCAACATCATTTCTACATATCGATCGAAAATCAAATCAGTCATCGAAATTCTAACCCTAGACGGAGAAAACAAAAAGGGTATGTGTGATTCCGAGAAACGAATCCGATCAAGATGAGAGATTTTTCGAAAAACTCACAAGGAAAATAGAGTTTCTCCGATGGATCAAGCTTCAATCTCCGTCTCGTAGGAAGAAACGACTTAGCAACAGATGAAACTGAAGGCGAAGGAGTCGGATGCTGATTTTGACCCGATCCATCACCATGTGGTCCGTTATAACCAATC